GTAACAAGCTTCACCACCATCCGCTTTCCATAAGCAAACCGGAAAATACATCATAGGAACGTAGCCAACGACTTATCCCGAAAAACACCGATCAGGAGAACACGGCACGTGTCCCTCATCCACACAATGTCAACGACACTATGAGGATTCATCAGAATCAGAACCATTAGTACGTTCAGCCAACACACAAGGTCCTTACCACACAGACCGAGACAAAAACAATGGCACTGTACAGCTCCAACATTACTATCGCCAATGGCGGCACAGTTTACCAGACTTTGAACATAAAGTATTTACACCCATACAAGGCCTGAATCCCCATGTAAGGGATTGCCATCGTGCGTCGCACATGTCTACATCAATCTCCGGAGAGTGCCAAGCACTTTAAATCATATGTACTCCTTGTACGACTGATGTCGCGCCTTCCGGGACCCTTGTCACGAGGTAAGCGAATGCTATACACGGCTCTTATCCTCATTCGCGACTCGATCCTAGGAAGGGTTTGAGTACCCACCCCCATCGGACTCATTGACGTAGTCCTTCCTGCTGATAGTTCAATGGAGCCAGAAATTCTCAATGAACCCGCTCTGTCAAATATACATAGGTGATTATGAGAACATCGTCTATGTATATATAGCCAGCGTGAGCCTTCCACACTACTAGAGATAATGCTAACGACTTCCACCTTCCTTTTGGATCGTGGAGAGATAGATTAGCTACCACCATAATCTATCACACTATACAACTCGCGGGAGTTCAGATTTCACGATCCTTTTTTGAATTGTGAGATCGCTCTCATCGTGATAAACTAGTTTTTCATAGCTTTCTAATCCTCTCATAACTTTCATTCTCTCAAACTCAAAACACTCGAAAGATCTTTACACTAGCTTTTAGCGTAGTGCACAAGTACAATTTTGCGGGCTTGAACTATGTGATTGTCATCTCCCTTTGGTCGAACCAAGTTTGGTGGGCTTCCCTGTCAAACAAAGGCAGTGTTCATGACTTGACAATTCTCCGGAATGAATTCATCAACTTGGTTCCTGATGGCTGTCGCGTCATTTCAGATTCAGGCATCACCGGCAAGTCGGAGGAGGAAAAGAGAGTTTTTGCAGTGAGCTCTGTTCTCGATTCAGAGGAAATGAAAACTTTGAAGGGCAATGCTAAGGCAAGGCAAGAGTTCTTCAACAAGAAGATGAAGGACTACGATTGCTTGACCAAGAGATGGATCCACGGCGCTGACAACCATATTTTGGCTTTCGATGCTTCCTTGGTCCTGTGCCAATACGCAATCGAAGACACATCCCCTCATGGAGAGCCGCTGCACACACTCTAGATAGAAACTAACAGTAGTAGATGGAAGATTTTGGCCAAAGCATTGTCTAAGTATCCTTAAAAAATCTGCTAGTACTATGAAGCCTCGAGCTTCCTTAGAGGTCATCGACTTCACGTTCTTCGAGGGTCCTCTTCTTGTTGGCTTTGTCAACATCCATGTCAATTGGGCCTATGATTTCAGTAGCTTCCTTGTCAAGCATTTCGTTGATCCCAGCAGCATGCTCTCCTAGAACATCATCCAACTCATCTTCAAACTCTTGGACAAATTGACCCAAATCATTCTTCATTCGAAGCAACCACTCTTTGTCTTTTTCTTCGTCCTCAACTCCGTTCTCAGCCTCTTCGAGCTTGCCATCGAGGATCCGTTCGGCCACGAGCATCTGAGCCTTGCGTTTTCTCTCTGGATCATCCATCAATCGCTTCCTCTCTTGCTCGTGGAGGAGACGCGCCTGTTTCTCTTCCTCTCTCTCCCATGATGAAATGCTCTGCAGATCCTCATCATCTTCCTTCATCTCGGCATCGGGCAGAACAGGAGGCGGAGGAATTGGAGGCATCGGTGGAGGGATTGGAGGCAATGGCGGAGGAATTGGTGGGCTACTAGTAGTTGACACTGTCGGACGAAATCATTTGAAAGAAGAAGTAAGAAAATGCTTAGTTCATTACAGCACTGCATCCTAGTATTTGTCAACATCAAATGAAGCTAACCTGTGAGGGCCAACATCTCGTCCAAGAGATCCTGATCTCCCTTAGTCTTGGTCTTTGCTTCGGCTTCGACTTCGCAAAGCGTTCCAATAATGAAAGCTCTCCAGACAAGAAAGACACGAGTAATCTCCTCCTTGACACCAGCCTTGCCCGTGCGTATGACCTTGTAGGGCAGTGGAAGCAGCTTGAGCTTTCCTTTGGCAGCTCCTTTCGAAAAGTAATCATTGGATACAGTGATGCCAAGGTCCTTCACACTGATGTGAGTGGTCTTCGGACGCTGTTTCTTGTTAAGCTTTGTCACCAAGGACATGAGGGTGGTTGTAAGCTTCACCGCTTCAAAGCGAGTCTTCGTCTTCTCAAGCTTGGGTAACCAGCCATCTTTTCCTTCGGCGCCATCCAAGAAACCACTATCCTTGGATGGGCCCTCAATCGAGATGCAATCCTTTGTAAAGCTGGCAGTGAAGTGCTTGACGTCTTCGGGGGCTACATTGGGACGGCACACAACAATGGCGCTTGCTTGCATCTTTCCAACCCTTTCTTCCGTCGACATCGTCGCAAGGTAATCACCATGATTGTCCTCGTTAACAAGATCAAAGTCAAAGTACTGCTCAAGGTCTGTGAGACAGAACAAAAGAATAGATGAGTGGGTGGTGGCAGGCGTGTTAGAGATTGCAGCAGCCACTGATTGGAACTCACCATCGTCTTCCTCATCGTCCGTCTTGATTTGCGCACGGAGCAGTTTGATTGGGCTACCAAACTTGCTGGCCGACATGGTGCTATCCGGTGTAGGCTTGTTGGATTTCTTCTTCTTGGTAGGAGCAGCAGAGGATTTGACCTTTTGCGGCTTCGGCTTGGTCTCGGGCAAGTCGATGACTGAGTCTTCAGGGGGAGATCCGTCGTCAGGCTCAGGATTGGGACACTGCAGGTCAAGTTTATTGAATTCAGCAATGATGTTAGCACGGGTGGCCTCGAAGTCGTGGTTTCTCTTCCATCGATCCACAAGGTTCACGGTACGATATCTTCGAACTGAACTCCGACATCCGAGCTGCGATGGGTAATCATCACAGAGTTTGGCGACCAGTTTATTCTTTCGGTTGGGTGCCTTGATTCCACCCCTTTCATCGAGGAGCTTTAGCAAGAAGACCTTCACTTCCAACTCCAGTCCTCCCTCCGGCGGCAAGGAATTGTCACATTCGTATTCGGCATCTATCCCGATCTTTGCCATGATTGGAACGAGCAACGAGTTGACTTACCGAGTATGGGTCTTGGTAGGCACCTGCAAATTCGGCGTCAAGGTCGTCCTCTGGAATGACTTTACTTCGAAGCTTGCGAGCTGCTGGCATTGTGAGATCTTGACGTCGGAAAAATGAGGAGACCTCGAGGGCAAACCGACTTGAATTCAAATCGAGGATCCTCGTTTATCATCAAAATCTCGTTTCCACAGCCTAAGCAGGCCTTGTTGGCTCTATATATGGTGACTGTTGTTGGCTTTCGATGAGGCAACAGTTGCTAACAGCAACAAACTGGCCTTTGGGTTGATTGTTGCTTCGGTTGTTGTCGACTGAAGGGACGCGGAGTCACGGATTCGGATCAATTCCAGCCACCATGGCCACCAAACAGAAAAAGAAAAAGGAGCGGCCACCGGCCAGCTTGAATGGTGCCAAATGGGAGCTGAGTGAAGCTAAGCAGCTGATTGCTCAAGACATGCTTGATGGTTTGGTTCCGGTCAATGAGAAGATCAAGGATGTGGAGAAGCTTTACGAAGACATGTATGCGCACCAACCAGAGTTTGATGATTTTCCCTTTGACAAAGACCGATACAGGACACGCATCAATAGCGTCCAAGCAGTGATCAGGCGCCTCAAATGGGCCAAGGAATATGATGAAGAGTGTCTTGCTGAAGCAAGGGAGAAGTATGGGTTCCCTACTCATGATCCAACCGGCAAGCCTTTGTGGCGAGGCTCCTTGGCAGCGGAAAAACTTGATGAAGACATGGCGGATCTGCTTCATTTGGAGATGACTCCTAAAGAGCTCTTTGAGCAGAGTGATCATGCTGACTTGTACAAGCCCTTTGGCTTGCGTCGCTTCCAACAGCGCATCGATCAGCTCAAGGAGAAGGCTTTACCTTATGGTGAAAATCCAATGCAGACGGCCGCCAAGAGGGCCAAGAAAGAGCGGGCCGAAGCCGTCGCTGTCAAGCCCAGGCCAGAGAAGAGTCGTAAGGGGT